GTCAGAACAGAGCAAGGAAACACTGCATGGTTCAAAATTGGGAAGGGCGTACGACAGGGATGCGTCCTATCTCCATACCTTTTCAACCTGTATGCAGAATAGATGATCCAGAAGGCTGGGCTCTATGAGGAGAAATGTGGGGTCAAGATTGTTGGAAGATCTATCAACAATCTGCGATATGTGGAGACACAACCCTGCTTGCTGAAACTGAGCAGGACCTGAAGTGCTTGCTGCTGAGGGTCAAGGACTTCAGCCTCCAATATGGATTGAGGCTCAATGCCAAGAAGACAAAGATTCTCACCACTGGGCCAATTGGCAGCATCAGGATGGATGGTGAAGTGACTGAGATTGTTCACAGCTTTAGTTTGCTTGGCTCCATGGTCAACACTCTTGGCACCAGTAGCCAGGAAATTAAAGGGCGTATTGCCATCGGAAAGTCTCCTGTTAGGGACCTCTCCAAAGTACTAAAGAGCAATAGTGTCTCTCTGGAGACTAAGATGCATCTTTGCAATCACTTGTTATGCATCAGAGAGTTGGACAATGACTAAGGAGGCTAGAAGGAGAATTGATGCCTTTGAGCTGTAGTGCTGGAGAAGAGTATTGAGAGTACCATGGACTGCTAGGAAAACAAACAGATTTAACCTAGAGAGGGTTAAACCAAGTGGCTCCTTGGAAGCAAGTATTCTGAGGCTCCGTCTAACATACTTTGGATATGATGTAAGGAGAGACCGGTAGTTGGAGAAGTATATCATGCTTGGGAGGGTGTAGGGACAGCACAGGAGGGGAAGGCCCTCTATGAGGTGGGTTGATTCAGTGACTGGGGTAATCAGGATAGGAGTGTCAGAGACAGTGTGATTGGCACAGGACAGAGCAGAGTTTAGGGCTGTGTACACAGGGTCGCCATGAGTCGCAAGCGACTCGACGGCACATAACAACATATTTTTTCTAAATGCTCACCTTTCACTGGGAATTCAACATAATGGATCAAAAGTCAGAAATAATACTCACAAGTTACAGTTGCTACCAAGAACAACAACAACAACAACAAAACATCTTTTATTACATCCCAGTGTCTACCAAGTAGTTTTTCTAAATAAAATTATTTTATATTTTAATGAAGTGTGAGAGAGAAATTAGAAAACCTAAAATTCTGGAACTATGATAGTTCTCCTTAATTTACAATTCAAGGGGTTGAGCTTACCAGTCATGAAATAGAATCTGTTCTAGAGGCACAAAGGAAAAGCCTTAGAGATACAAATATTCTGGCCTCATGCTCTCATTAACTGTCTCACACCCCACTGGAAGTAGAGAAGGACAGTCTATGAACTTCTTGTTCCTTGAATTCCCTTTACAGTTTACTCCTTTGCAGTAAGTTTTACCAGTTCCATTTTGGCCCAAAGTGATTTAAAAGAATGACAGAGGAAGTCTCTGATGCTAGAATGTGGTTTTGAAGGCCTCTTGACTTGTAGTGATTTAGTAAAATGTAAACCTCTCTTGTGTGTACACATATAGTGAAAACTATCCAGTGGTTTTCAGGGCAAAACATTGGTCACTGTGATATTTTAAGGCAAACTTTGAAGGAAGGGCAAGAAAAAAGAATTAAAAATACACAATCATTCAAGCGAACAAGTGGATATATCTTGTTCCACCCTAGAGGAGCTTTTCTCTTGGTAGCAGTTTTTGCTCTTTTATTTTTTGTTCATGTTTTTTTTTAATCTAGGCCAAGAAGAAATTAATGGTGAGTACCAAGAAGCATGAAGCACTTTTTCATCTTGTAGAAAGCTCCAAGCAGTCCGTGACTCAGAAGGAAAAGCAGAAGGTAAGTTTGCATGACCCACTGGCTCCTACAGCTGGGAGATGGGTGAGCTTCCTGTCATTGTCTGTGAACGAGGAAGGCTGACCGAGTCCTCCCTCCTGCCGAATCTCTGTAGACTGTAGTATGGCCACAACTGAGCAGGAAAAGAGAATTCAGGTGATTCTTGGGCTACAAGTGTTTTAAATGAGATTTTTGCCCCCCAACACATACTTTGGAAATTTTGTTGGTTGCAACCAATCTCAGAAAAGCACATCATGCTTTTCAAAGTAGAAGGTCATTCAGAAAAAGAGGAAGACCCTCAACAATGGGCTCAAATGGAGCAATAATTGGGAGAATGGCAGGGGAGACAGAACATTTTGTCTATTGTGCATATGGTTGAAATGACTTAGAATCTACTTGATGTCAACTTAACAGTATTGACAAATGAAAAATTATACCAGAGGTGTCTGCAGTGTTTTACTAAGAAATCTTATGAAGAAAACATTTCTCAGCCCTTACCTCAAAAGAGAACTCCTGGTGTCCTCATAGGTAAGGAGCTGTGCTTCCAACCCAAAGGCAAGAGGTTCAAATCTCTCAGCTGCTCTGCAGGAGCAAGATGGGCAATCTCCTCTTTGTAAGAGCCTTGGAAAACCCATGAGAGAGTCAGCTATGAGTCAACTTCACTCAACAACAATGGGAGAGAACTTTGTCAAAAAATAATACAATATTGGTGTATGAGAAGAAACTTTTACATTTTCTACCTACACCAAATAGATTGTCTTTCACACCCCTTGTAAGGTTGCTGTTAGGTGCTATCAAATTGAGTACAACTCATAGCAACTCTATGAACAAACATCCTCATCGTTTCTGATATATTTGAGCCCATTGCTGCTGGCACTGTATCAATTCATCTGTCTGAAGGTCTTCTTCTCTTTTGCTGACCCTCAATTTTTCCAATCATCATGCACCTTTCCAAGAAATAATCTCTTCTAACAGTATGACCAGAGTGTGTAAGATAACCCTTGCCTCTATGGAGTGCCCTGGTGATGCTTTCCCTAAGACCTATTTGTTCTTTGACAGTCTATAGGATAGTCAGTTCTTCTCTACCACCAAAGCTCAAAGGCATCAGTTCTTCTGTCATCCTTATTCACTGTTCAACTCTCAGATGTACAGCAAGTGATTGAAATGTCCATGGCTTGAATCAGGCACACCTTGGTCTTTAAACTGACATCATTGCTCCTCAGTACTTTGGAGTGGTCCTTCACAGCAGTGTATTTCCCCAATGCAAGATGCCTTCTGATTTCTTGACTGACAGTACCAAGGATGTTAATTGTGGATCCAAGTCACATGAAATTGTAGACAATTTCAATCTTTTCCCATATATCATGATGTTACCCTTCTGGCCCAATGGTGAAGATTTTTGTTTTCTTACTACTGAGATGTAATCCATATTGAAGGATTTCTTTGATCTTCTGCAGAAAGTTTCTCAAGTCCTTCTCACTTTGAGTAAGTTATGTGATCTGCCTCTTGTAATGTGTATCCTAGATTGGAAACCTATAAAATAGACAATAACTTTCCCAAAAGGAATCCCTTAATGAAAAGGTAGTCGGAGCCACTGCAATTTCAGATATTCTTAAAATTAAAAGAAAATGGAAATTACAACTAATCCTAGCAATTCATCTGAAGAATAACAACTCATTTCATCTTGAATAAGAACTCATTGTTAGCAAGATAATACAAGGTTCTTATTTCTTCACATGTCAGTCTTCACAATTTTAAATTATCAAAATAACAATGGAATAATGAGACAACTTCAGAGGAGGCTAAGCCACTATACTTGAAAGTGCTAAGCACCAGGACCCGTCTTAGGTATCCTGAACCCTAATTAGGAGCTAGTCTTTACTGATGCAAAGCAAAAAGGAAAAGCATGAACAACTAAGTGGTAGTGTTTTTGTGTTGGGCTTTGTGTTTTTTCCCCCTTTCTCTCATTAGAAGCTTCCCTAGGAAGTTGAAGTCCATAGTCTTCTGATGCTTTCCTAAAATACATGTCTCCAGCTGCTGCTGTATCCACTGGCTGTCATTACAACACAGACCACATACCATCATTATCATCTAATCTTGTGGTTCCCCAAACCCCTGAGATATAAGCTAAGCACCTAAGACAACATTTATTTTCTCATCTCATATAGAAGGTTTTTTGTGATCCTCGAATGTCAGCTTCCCAGTTTCTCCTATTTGCCTACCAAGCCAGCAGTAAAATCTGTTTTAATTTCACATGGTGACCTCTTGTATGTCAGAACAGAATTGTGCTCAATAGAGTTGTTGATTTTTTTTTTAAAAGTTCATTTTATGTTGGTTGTTCTTACTAAGTTTGTTTATGTTGTGTTTCACACTATTCTTCATTCACATTGTTTTCCATTTTGATCATTTTCAAGCATTATGTTTTATTAATCACCATTGGAGTATGCCCATCATCACCCTGTCTTTTCAGGTCTCTGCTGGATCTTTCCCATTTCCTTTATCCCCTTCAAAAGAGTTTTCATGACTGAGAAGTAGATTATCAAGACTTTATTCAAAAGCATCTGTGGCTGGAGTCAAGACTCCAGTATTTTGGTAGCAGCCTACTTTATGAACCACTCGCACCACCCAAGGACTCCTGTCCTCAAGAGAAGCTTATCTAAATCTCTATCCACCCCACATGTGCATCTTCATGAACCACTTTGAGTTATCCATCTTTCCTCCTAACTCACAGAGTAAACAGAAGTTGCCCAACAGGAATATCATCTTCAGGTCAGCTGCCATTAACGTAATAGCATCTATTCAGGTAGGTTTTCTACCTATCTGGTTGCAAGAGGAAAAACCTATTCTCCATCCCTCACTTTAATTCCTACCCATCCTGCAGCTCAGAGACAGTCTCTATTGATTATTCCCCTCACTCCTATAGAATGGCCTCTCTATACCTGCTGCTCTAAAAACATCCAGACTTCTCAACAAAGTCCTGTCTTCAGAAAACAGAGAGAGTCATGGCCTTATTCCTGGTCCTCTGCAGTTGTTATCATCCCTTCTCTCCTGTACAAAAAGATTTTCTGTGAGAGTGATCTGTGTCTGACGCCACTTCCTCATATCTTATTTACTCCTCAAGCCTCCCCTATAAAGCTTTTCCCACCTTTCCACTAAGAGTGTTCTTTTCATCAAAAACAATGTCCTCTTCATTGCTAACATGAGTGGGTACTTTCCAGTTCTTACTCAATAGATAACTTCATGGAGGGATTAAAGCTTGTTGGCTTCCCTCTTGTATAAACATGCTTTTCTCTTTGGTTACTTCTGTAATGGGGAAATGCCTTTCATCTGCTTTTTTCTGTAAAATGCTTATTTGTCAGAAACTGTTTTAAAGTTGAGCATACAAAGTAAAACAGACTAGAAAGAAGAATTTGCTATCCACTTCTGAAATAACATGGCTTCAAAAACCCTCTGTACAATAGAGCATACATAGAGTAGACTAGCAGATAGGGCAACTGAAGCTGAGCCCTCAACTTAGAAACACAAAGGAGAAGGAACATTTGTAAGCAGACACTAATGATTGGAACATGGAATGTAAGAAGCATGAATATAGGAAAATTGAACATTTTCAAGAAAGAAGTAGAACATATACACATTGACATACCAGGTATTGGGAAAAAGAGATTGATTGGCATAGGACATTTTTAATTTGATAGTCATATGATCTAATTCTGGAGATGATAAGGTGAGGAAAAATGGGGTTGCATTCATAGTTAAAAAAGTCATTTCTAGATATATCTTAGAATACAGTGTTGTGAATTATAGGATAATATCCATATGCATACAAAGAACTCCAGTTAATACCACTATCATTCAAAATATATTCACTACACAGTTGCTGGGATTGTAAAATGGTACAACCACTCTGGAAGGCAGTTTGGCATTTCCTAAAAAAATTGAACATAGAAACAACTAGGAATATACCCTAAGGAAATTAGAACTAAGACAAAAAATGAGATTTGTATACCAATGTTCACAGCAGCATTATTCATTATCACAAGAACATGGAAACAGCACAAAATTCCAACTCTAAGTGAATGAATTGATTAATTGTGGTATACTCACACAACAGAATAAATACTATGTGGCACTCAGGAGCAATGATTTAAAAAAAAATTAACTTGGGAGAGACTAGAGAGCATTATGCTGAGTGAACTAACTAAGGTCATAAGGACAAATACTGCATAAGACCATTATTGTAAAAATAGAAGGATAACTAGTAAAACATGTATGGGGACCTAAGGAGTGAAGGAGTGAGAACAGAGGAGTCAGGATGGGTAGGGGCAAAATCACAGGGTTGGTGGGTGAAGGGAATGGGTAATGAAAATGGAAAAGATCTGGTAGGGGTCTGAAAAGATAGGGTAATGATGGGCATGGTCAATTGGTGATTAAGTATATAAAACATAATGCCTGGGAATCATTGTATGAAATACAACATGAATGAAGAAGAGTGTGAAACAACATGTATACAAACTTTGTAAGGAAACCAACATAAAACAAAGTTTTTAAAAAACCCAAAAAACAAATATATGTACCAACAAGCAGAGCTAAAGAGGAGAAAATAGATGATTTCTACCAGCTTTTTCAGTCAGAAATCAATTGAACATGCAACCAAGGAAGCAGGATTGCATATTCTTTTCTAGGATCTCCGGCAATTTAGTGTGTTAGGTGTTGCAATGCTAACCAGAAAAGGTCACTGGTTCATATCTGCCAGCTTCATGGGGGAAAGGTGGACAGTCTTTTCCTATCAAGATTGATAATGTCATAACCCAATGGAGCGTCACCATGAGTCAGAACTGAGGGTCACTATGAGTCAGATTGACTTTACCGAAGTCAGTTATATTGTTTTGTATCTATTTGAGTCTGTTCTAAATCTGGCATGTAGAAACTTCCAATCAATATCTATATAGTGTAGACTGACAAATGTTGAACAATAGGCTGGAAAAGATTCAGCTCTCATTGCTGGGGGTACAAGAATTCTCAGTAAGAACCTAATGGCATGATCTCAGAGTGCAGCCATGACACTCTTTAAGCCTTTTCACTCTGTGGGTATAAGGTTTAATTCACGAGCTCCTGTTTCTACCAATAAATGGAGTCCATTACACTTGCTATACAAAACCAAATGTGTCCCGTGAAGGTCATACATCACTACTTAGGGACAGTTGAGTGGCTAGTATACTAACTAGAATACTAATGTGAATGCTGTTAATATTCAGCATTTTGGGAAAATGTTCTTCATTACTGTAATGCTAGTCTAAATGTCCTCAAGTATGAAATAGGTCATTTTAAGAAACCCATTGTCTCTGTCCTTGGAACTCCTAAGTTGGTTTTTTCTTTTTTAAAAAAATTGTATACTGGTTTACATACAAAGTTCATAATGTTCGTATTAAGTGTGAGAAGTTCATGGTGTTCCATAAAGTACGTAAGGCTTGAGAACCAAATGTAAGGAAAATTCTTATTTTCTGATTTAACTGTAGAACTAATCAGTCAAAACTGTTCTTCGTGGAATCTAGGAATCTGAAATTTTGATTAGCACCTCAGACCAGTGCTGTTGTTGCTGTTACATTGTTCCTATTATGCGCAAGGTAGAGTTAGAACCGAGCCATAGCAGACTCCCCCACACCAGCTGGTTTTCAGAGGCAGGAAATTGGAAAGGAGACTGCCCATCTTTGTCCTGTGCATCAGCTGGTGGATTTGAACTGTGTGCCATTAGGTTGGTTGCATGCTATCAGGTCTGTTCCAGTTCACAGTAATGCGGGGCACAGCAAACCCAAAGCACAGCCTCAGCCTGTGCCGTCGTCACAATTGTTGCTTTACTCAAATCCATCTCTTTGAGGATCTTCTTTTGTTGCTGACCCATTACTTTACCAAGCATGATGTTTTTCTCCAGGGACTGACCTGTCCTAAGGACTTTCTCTGATTGTGTGAGACCAAATCGCACCATCCTTGCTTCTAAGGAGCCTCTGGGTCTACTTTTCCAAAAGTACTATTGTTGTTAGGTTTCATCAAGTCAAGTACAACTCATAGTGACCCTAGGAATAAGAGCCCTGAACCTAGCCCTATCCTTAGCCACCCTCACCATCTCAGTCATACTTCCATCTCAGTCATACTTAAACTCATTGCTAAAGTCACTGTGTCAATTCGTATTATCCAAGGTCTCTCTCTCCTACGCTGTCCCTCCACACATCCAAACATGATATCCTTCTCCAACCACTGGCCCCTACTGACAACATGTCCAAAGTATCTGAGACAGAGTTTCAAAATCCTTGTCTCCAAAGACCAACCTGATTTCACCCTCTCAAGGTCAGACCTGTTTGTTCTCTTGAAAGTCTATAGAACATTCAGTACTCTTCTCCAACACGACAACTCAAAGGCAACAGTTCTTCTGTCATGTTTATTTATTGCCCAGCTCTCTGGTGTCCTAGTTGCAAAGTAGCTACACTATAATCCCAAAGGCTTGCAGTTCGAGGCCACCAGCTTTTCCTCAGGAGAAGGATAGGTAATCTCCTGTGTAATTAACTGCTCCATAAAACTCCTGGAGGGTCAGCTATGAGTCTGTTCCAACTCTACAGTATACAACAACCACAACAATGGCTTGGATCAGGGGCACCTTTGTCTCTAGACTGACATAATTGCCCTTTAGCACTCTGGAGAAGTCCTTGACAGAGAATTTTTCCCATTGCAACTCATTTTGGTTTCCTGATTGCTGGTGCCAGGGGCGCTGATAGTGGATCCAAGAAAGATGAAACTGTTAACAGCCTCAATCACTTCTCTATCATGATGCTGCCTATTGGTGTGGTGCTGAAGATTTTTGGTTTGGTTTTGTCTTTTATGTTGATGAAATCCATATTGAAGGCTCAAGTAGTCCTTGATCTTCTGAAGTAAATGTTTTAAGTACTATGCTGTTTTGACAAGTAAGGTTGTGTCATCTGCATAACTCGCCACATTCTTCTTCAGCAAGTCTAGCCTCTCAAATGGTGCAGGGTATAGATTGAAAAGGTGTGGAGAAAGGATAATTCCCTGATGCACATATTTCTTGATTTTGAAACATACAGTGTTCCTTTGCCTTTTTTTTTTTACAATAAATTTTTGGTTTAGTTATAGATATATTGCACTAGAATGCTGAGAAGCCCCCCCAAAAAGGAATAAATGAGGAAGTTGGAATTGAACAAAAGATTCCATAGGGAAGCTCATGAAGACAAATTACAGTATTATAACAAAATGTGCAAAGAACTAAAGTCAGAAAATTAAAAGGGAAGAGCTTGCTCAACATTTCTCAAGTTGAAGGACTAAAGAACAAATTCAGTTTTCAAGTTGCAATAGTTAAAAGATGCAATGGACAGAATATTGAATTATTCAGGAAGCATCAAAAGAAGATGGAAGGAATATATGGTGTCACTGTCCCAAAAAGAATGACTGACAAAGAACAATTTCAGGAAGAAGCATGCAATTAAGGACCAAAGGAGGAAGTTCAAGCTACTGTAAAGGAATTGGCAAAAAATAAGGCCCCAGGAATCAGTGGTACACCAATTGGCATATCTCAACAAACAGATGCAGCTCTGGATGTGCTCACCAGGTTGGGCCAAGAAATCCAGCTATCCAACTGACTAAAAGAGATCCATATTTATTTCTTTATTCCTATTTCCCCAAAAGGTGATCCAACAGAATATGGAAATTATAAAATAATATCACTAATATCATATCCAAGCAAAATCTTGCTGAATAGTATCTAAACAGTATTATCTAAACAATAATATTATCTAAACATTGACAAAGTACTTAGTCATTGTCCAACTTTCTGAAGCATAACAAGTAATTGGGAAGACCATGGCCTGGATTAGGTGCACCTTTGTATCTAGACTGACATCATTGCTCTTCAGTGCTCTGGAGAGGTCCATGACAGCAGATTTTCCCAATGCATTTCTTTTCTTTATTTCCTAACTGCTGGTATTAAAAGTGTTGATTGTAGATCTGAGCAAGCTGTAATTGCTAACAAACTCAATCTCTTTTTCATCTATTATGGTGATGCCAATTGCCCCAGTGGTGAGAATCTTTGTCTTCTTGATATTGAGCTTCGATTTATATTGAAGACTACAGTCCTTGACCCTTTGCAGCAAGTGCTTCAGGTCTTCTTCAGTTTCAGCAAGCAAGGTTGTGTCATCTGCACATTGTAGGTTGTTAATGAGTCTCCCTCCCATCTTGATGCCACATTCCTCTCATAAACCCCTGCTTCCCAAATGACCTGTTCTGCATACAGATTGAAAAGGTACGGGGACAGGATGCATCCTTGATGCACTCCTTTCTTGATTTTGAACCATGCAGTGTTTGTTTCCTTGATCTGTTCTGAGGTCTGCTTCTTGGTCCAAGTATAGGTTTCAGGTAAGCACAATCAAGTGTTCTGAAAGTCCCATTTTCCTCAAAGTTAGCCACAATTTATTGTGATCCACATAGTCAAATGCCTTTGCATAGTCAATGAAACACAGATAGACATTCTTCTGGTGTTCTCTGCTTTTGACCAAGATTCATCTATCATTACTTTGGGAACGTGACCAGGAGAGATCTGTCCTTGGAGAAGGACATCATGCTCAGAAGGGTGGAAGGACAGCGCAGGAATGGAAGACCCCGGATGAGATGGATTGATACATTAACTGGGGCAATGGGGTTGCTGTGTCAGAATTTGTAAGATTGGCTCAGAACAGGGAAAGGTTCAGAGGTGCTGTACACCGGGTCAGGTCACTATGCATCACAGGCAACTCAACCAATAACATTCTATGACAGGTTTGGAAGCAGAAGTGGCATCCACTTCCTAAACAACTTGCCTCTGGAAACTCTATGAACGTTGATAAATGTCAATAGTTGTAGAGGGGCTTCAGGCCTTTTGTTCATAGGGTCACTGTGAGTCATGCTTGATAACAACTCTTTATGCGAGGACTAGGGACTGTTTGCCTAATTTTCTCCTGTGAAGTAGCCAGGGAATTCAAATCACCAACCTTTCAGTCAACAGTTCAACACAATACATACTTATTCCAGCCACCAGATTTCCTTAGGGGCCTAAAGATTTGCCGGCTAAGATTAGAGAGTTCATTGGGAAATTATAGTCTGTAATCTGGAGGTACTTAACCTACATTTACTTCAGCAATGTGCTCTAGGTGTCAGAGATGTTGAGGATGGCATGGGATAGGGCAGGGTTCAGGCTGACCGTTCACAGGGTGAAATAAGTCATATTTCACCTGATGGCACCTAAAAAACCCCCTATGATTTGATCTTCTTTCTCACTTGATGAACCACTTTTATTTAACTTTATTTTTTCATGTATAAAATTTAGAATTGAGAAACCAGACTGAAAGATGACTAGCTTTCTTTTTGTTTCTGATAATAATTTTTTCCCTGAAGTATCTTTGCTTTTCTCATATAGAATTTATAACGTGACTTGAGAGATGAGAAATTTGTAACCAAGACAGATATAATTCTTTCTCTGAAGTGAAAAAGGGCTTCCCTTGTGTTAATGAATATGTGATGCTGATGCTTTACTCTAGCTCCTGAATAAACTGAAGAAATCAACAGAGAAGCTGACAAAGGAAGAAGAAAATTATTACCAAAAAAATATGGCTGGCTATTCCACCAGACTGAAATGGGAAAACACGCTAGAAAACTGCTACCAAGTAAGTCCTGCACTCACAGGTGGGTTTTCTTCCACAGAACCTTGAGTAGCCTTGAAAATAGAGGTGAGCCCTGATCTCTGCCTTTAGCTACGACTTTACCTCTTACTGGGCTGTTAGACAAATCACACATCTTCTTGCTGCTTCAATTTCTCAGTGGATACAATTATCAGTGACAATTTACTGAATGTCATTGGCCAGAATTGTCCTTGCTCCCCGTTCTCAACAGATTCAATAGTACTCAGATAGCCTCAAAAAGTGCTTTCAAAGTACAAATTAGAGTTTCGATGTCAGACGCTTGAAACTGAGCTTTCGGCATGAGAGCTGATTCCTTTAGTAATCACTTACAGGCTTGTCTTGTATATTAGACATAGTGCTTTGTGCTGGAGACACAGAAATGAACAAAATATCACGCTAAAATACCTGCAAATGCTCACCATTTAATAGCAAAGCCTGACATATGACAAATTGTGAGACAGAACACTTGACCATAAATAGTAAAAGTATTAATGTACTGTGGAAAATGTAGCCTATGTCATAGGACAATTTGTATAGAGATTTCTAAATGAGAATCTAATTTTCTGTGCAAACTGTCACTTAAAACAAAAACACAATCAAAATATTACTTAAAACAGAAAGAAGGAACGATTGTGACAAATAATCCAATTAAATTAGTTTTTAACAGTATTTTGTAAAAAGTAAATCACAGAAATAAATTGCTGATAAACATATGGAAAAATGTGTAGTGATTTGGAAACGTTAAAACGTCATACTAGTTGCCTCGTGGTAAGAAACTGCACTGCAATCCTGAAGGCCCATGGTTTGAATCCATCAGCTGCTTCACAGAGAAAGAATGGGCAGTCTGTTCTCATGCAAATTACTGCCTCTGAAACCCATGGAGGGTCAGCTACAGGTCAGTTTTGACTTGACACAAACATAACAACATCAAGTGCTGACAAGAATATTGGGAACAAGAATTCTTGTACACCTCAAGTATGAACAATTTTTAAAAATTTATTCTAAAGCTGAAATGTATGTACATCCACAACACCGCATTCCCTTTTAGGCCTACCCTTTAAGTAAAGATTCTCATTGACACAATGTTATGTGGAAAGAAATTCATTTCAGAATTGTTTGTAAGTCTGTGATGAAAAAAAGACTTGTATGCTATCTTTTTCAATTTTATTTTATACTAGTTTACTTACAAAATTGATATACATTGTTTCCCACACCGGATCTTTCCCCTTTCCTTTCCCTACCCCTCTCTCCACTCATCAAATTTTGTGCAACCCTATAATTAAACCCTCCCTCCCTCTCCCACCCTTCCCCATCCTAATCCCTCAGCTCCCCCCCTCCCTTCTTTGGATCCTCGTACTCATTCTAAAATAATGGTCTTATACAGTATTTATCAGGTCTAGAAAGACTGCCTTCCAAAGGTGAATGGAGCAAAGGCAAAGAAAGAATATGCAACAATACAGAGAAATAGATAATGTCAGAGGAAACTTTATGAAATAAGAAAGATACACCCTCAAGAGAGGAGGGTAGGTCTATTTTTGATAGAAAGAGGTTGGTGAGAATAGACACCTCCCTTCTTATTAGTCTTTTGATTTCTATAGCCTTGCATGTCCTGAACTCCTTAGAATGCCCATGCTTTCGACAGAGACAGGTCTTTGGTAGAACTTCATTTGTCACTGCTGGAAAAGTCAATGGCATCTGTTGATTCATCTGTTGTTGAGATTCCAACCCCTATTTCTCCTCCAAACCTTTGTTGCCATATTTTCCTTGTTCTTTCTTTTGTTATGTGCTGTCAAGTCACCTGTGACTCATAGCAACCCTATGTACAACAGCCCTAAACCCTGCTCTATCCTGTGCCAATCTTATAGTCACTGACATGCCTATCCCCATTACCCCAATGATGAAATCAATTCATCTCATCAAGGGTCTTTCTCTCCTGCACCATCCCTCCACCCTCCCAAGCATGACATCCCCTCTGCAAGGACTGGTCCCTCCTTGCAACATGTCCAAAGTATGTCAGACAGAGCTTCAGAATCCTTGCCTCCAAGGAGCATCCTGGCTTCACCCTCTCCAGGACAAACTTGTTTGTTCTTCTAGCAGTCCATGGTATATTCAGTACTCTTCTCCAGAACCACAGCTCAAAGACATCAATTCTCCTTCTATCAACCCTAGTCATTGTCCAGCTTTCTGATGCATAGAAAGTAATTGCAAAGATCATGGTCTGTATCAGGTGCTCTTTAGTCTTCAGACTGTTGTCTTTGCTCTTTAGTACTTTGGAGTGGTCTCTGACAACAGACTTTCTCAATGCAATTTGTCTTTTTATTTCCTGACTGGTGGTACCAAGAATGTTGATTGTGGAACCAAGCAAATTGAAGCTATTAACAATTTCAATCTCTTCACCATCCATCATGATGCTGCCTATCGGCCCAGTGGTGGGAATCTGGTTTCTTTTGATGTTGAGCTTCAATCCATATTGAAAGCTGCAGTCTTTGACCTTCTGCAGTAAGAGCTTCAGGTTCTCCCCAGTTTCAGCAAGCATGGTTGTGCCATCTACATAATGCAGATTGTTGATGAGTCTACCTCCAATCTTCATGTCATATTTCTCCTCATAGAGCCCAGACTCCCAGATAATCTGTTCTGCATATAAATTGAAAAGACATGGAAATAGGACACATCCTTGGACCACACACTTCCCAATTTTGGACCATGCAGTATTTCCTTGCTCTGTTTTGACGACTGCCTCCTGGCCCAAGAATAGGTTTCACATAAGCACAATCAAGTGTTCTGGGATTCCCATTCTTCTCAGAATCAGCCACAGTTTATTGTGATCTACACAGTCAAATGCCTTTGCATAATCAATGAAACACAGACATTCCTCTGGAACTATGCTTTCAACCAAGATCCACCTGATGTTAGCTATATCGCTAGTACCACAGCCTTTTCTAAACTCAGCCTGCACTTCAAGCAGTTCTCTGTTCATGTGCTGTTCCAGTTGTTTTGGCTAATCTTCAGCAGTATCTTGCTTGCATGTGATATCGATGATATTGTTCAATAATTTCTCTGTCAGATCACCTTTCTTTGGAATGGGAACAAATATAGATCTCTTCCAGTCAGTTGGCCAGGTGGTTGTCCTCCAGATTTCTTGGCACGAGCACATTCTGGGAAGCATTTGTTTGTTGAAATATGTTAATTTATGTGTCATCAACTCCTGGGGCTTTGTTTTTTGCCAATTCTTTCAGAGCAGCTTGAATTTCTTCCTCCGCCACCACTGGCTCTTTCTTGTTCATATGTTGTTTCATGAAATTTTTCTGTGTCCACTAATTAATTCCTTTTGGTACAATGACCCTGTATACACTTTTTATCTTTTTAAAATGCTTCCTGGATCATTTAATATTCTGCCCAAAGCATCCTTAAATATTGTAACTTGAGGCTTGAATTTCTTCTTCAGTTCCTTCAGCTTAAGAAATGCTGAACAAGTTCGGCCTTTTTGATTTTCCGACTCCACCTCCTTGCACATTTTATTGTAAAACTTTACTTTGCCTTCCCGCACTGTCCTTTGGAATCTTCTGTTAAACTCATTAATGGCTTAATTTTCTTCCCTTTGCTTTGGCTTCTTGGTGCTCTAGTGCAACATTCAGAGTTTCTTCTGACATCCATCTTGGTCTTTTCTTCCTCTTCTGTCTTTGTAATGACTTTTGCATTGTTCATGACTATATTCTTGATATCTTTCCACATCTCATCTGGTCTACACTCATTAGTGTTCAAGGCCTCAAACCTGTTCCTGAGATGGTTTTGAAATTCAGGCAGGATAGACTCAAGGTCAAATTTTGGTTTCAATGGGCTTGATTTAATTTTCCTCAGCTTCAACTTGAACTTGCATGTGAATAGTTGGTGGTCTGTTCCACAATCAGCACCCGGCCTAGTTTTCACAGCTGATATTGAGCTTCTCCAGGAATTCCTTCCAGACATGAAATCTGTCTGATTCCTATGCATACCATTCAGTGAAATCCACATATATAGCCTGTCTTTATGTTTCTCATAAAATTTATTTGCAATGAATAAATCATTGATTGTGTAAAATTTATCATTCTATCTCCTGCTTCATTTCTGTCTCCAAATCCAAGTTTTCCAACTACTGTTCCTTTTTCTCTGTTCCCAACTTTTGCATTCCACTCACCCATTATTAATGCATCTTGATTGCATGTTCGATCAATCTCTGACTGCAAAAGTTGGTAGAAATTTTTTGTTTCCTCTTCTTTGGCTCTGGTTTTTGGTGCCGATATCTAAATGATAGTGGTATTCACTGGACTTTCTTGTATGTATACGGATATTATCCTGTTACTCACAACATTGTATTTCAAAATGATCTAGAAATTACTTTTTTAACTATGAGAGCAACCCCATTTTTCCTCACCTTTTCGTCTCCAGCATAGTAGATCATATGATCCAGACTCAAAATGTCCCATGGTAGTCCATCTCATTTCACCAATGCCTAGTATATCAGTATTTATGCAGTCCATTCCTTTCTTAACAGTATCCAATTTTCCTACAATCACAGTTCCCACATTCCTTGTTCCAATCACTTGTGTCTGCTTGTGGAAACATATAGGAGGAGGAACAGCCTGTTCTCTCTTACCCTAACATAAACTTTTCCTTAGCTTTTTATAATAGTGAACTCAAACCATGTTTGTTTTTTTTTTGTGATTATTTTCACTCAGTAAAAGGCCCTCCAGTTTTTGCCAACACCATTTGTTAAAGAAACTATCAATACCCAAAGGTATTAGTTCTTTGTCAGAGATCAGTTGACCATGACTCCTTTTGCTGTAGTTATTCAGATTCTGCAAAGTCAATTATGACTTAGAGTTATACCATGGGGTAGGTAGAAGAGCCCCATAGAGTCTTCTAGGTTGTAAACTTCAAATGACAGATTGCCAGGTCTTTCTCCCTTGGACAACTAGGCGGATTAGAACCAACAACCCTTAAGTTAG